CACACAACTGGCATTCCTTTGTAAAGCAATAATATAAGATCAAATATAAGATTCATAATGTCAGCATTTGTCTCATTTGAGACAGATTTGTGGAATAACATCAAAGCACACATTTTGCTTTAAAGTATCTAAACAAGACCTCTCCAATAGTACCAGTTTAAAGAAAATAAAGGCACTTTTTTTTTAACAAGATTTTCCTAAAAGCAAATTAAGATACACCCTACTCCATATTCCTTAGCTTTTTCATACTAAGACTCCTCTCAGGTGTTACAAGTCGGTTCTTCAGTTTTATTAAACTGTCCTTATTTTATACACCTGGGAAGTCTGGAACCCAAAAAGACACAGGGCTCCCCCAATGAAAAACGAAGGAAGGGACAGAAAGGGGAAGCAAGGACCTCTTTCATTAAAAACAAACTAAACTGCCAATAAGAGGGACTTATAATAAGCGATGTGTACCCATGACCACGGAGGACTCCGTTTTTCCTGGTTCTGACACATTCCTATCTTAGGGAAAGAGGGCAGGAATGTGCCCAGTAAGAGCACAGCGCTGGATGTCAGCAGCTCAGCAAGGCTAGGAGTTAATCTCTTCAGATGCCCAACTGCAGGAAGTCATTACATCATAGGCCTTTCCACACCTCTCTCTCTAACACGAGTCCGAGTCCGATGCCTCAAGAGRCTGAAAAGGAACTGTAGAGAACCTCTCTTCAGGTTCATATATAGGAAGAAGCCATTAAGGCTCAGGCCTGCCATCTAACCTCCCTCTCAACAGAACAGTAAAACGCAGGCCCACACCTGCCTCGAATAGTGCCAAAGTCCAGGCCTTGTCCGAAGCAGCAGGTGCGGCCAGTTCACGTTCAGGTGGCGAGGCTGATCTGTTCCAGGTCCCAGAACATTTCAGAGGCTCCGCGGGGGCAAGCTGAGTGAAGTGACAGATACCTCTTAAGAGTAAAGGTGTCAGCATAGGCAAGGAAAGGGAGCCGGCTGGAAAAAGGTTTGCAATCATTGTTTTGTTTTTTTGTTTTTTTTTTAAGGGGATGGATATGCCTGTAGGAGTTAACACCCACAGTCCGAAACTTGGGACTCCAAGGTTCTCATTCAGCTCCTGMGACCAAATGAAAATCTCTTTCCTCCCACCCCCCACACACACCCCTTCACGCCACCCACGGTGTCCTTGCTGCAACCAGCTACAGTAAACTCTATTCCAAAGTTGGCCGCGGACCTACCTCCTCGCCGCTGTCCGGATAATCCAGCTAATGCACTCCAGCCCATCCTTCCTTCCCTTGTCAGTGAACCTTGCCCCCCACCTCCTCACCTGGTCTCGCCCGAGGCTTCCCAGGGAGACTCCTTCTCTCTCTGAGGCTATCCCCAGGTTCCCCTGCTCCAGAGGTCAAACAGAACCCTCCAAAGCCTCACAACAGAGGCTCCCCTACCAACCCTCTCCCCAGCGCCCTTAGGCGCGCTGCGTCCGACAGATTCGAGGCGCGTCCGGCGCTGCGCAGGAGGCCCGGCGGTCCGGCTGCCAGCCCCTGGTGAGTACGCACCTTCCAGCCGGCTGAGCTGTTGCTATCGCCCTTATCCTTGAAATAGGGCACACAGCGCACCATCCACTCGTAGATCTGGGACAAAGTGAGCCGTTTGTCCGGGGAGCTCTCTATGGCACGGGTGATCAAGTCGGCGTAGGACAGGTTCCCCCAGGCGTTCCGCCGTGAGGAGCATTTCCTGGGCTGCCCAGAGCCCCCCGCCGTCCCCGGCTGCGGCGGTGGCAGTTGCTGCTGAGGCTGCAGCGGCGTCTGCGTCCCCCCGCTCAGCGTGCCCGCCGCGGGAGCTGGCCCGGACCCGAGGTCCTGCCCTCCGGGAGCCAGCAGTATGGCCGAATCCTCAAGGAGTAGCCCCGAGGCCAGCGTGCCGCTCCCGCTGCCGCCGCCGATCGCCATAGCCGAGCTGGCCCGGCCACCGCTGTCCTCGTCGTCTTCATCGTCGTCTTCCTCGGGGATCATGGAGTCGGCGGCCGTCTCCCCCGAGGGCTTGGCCGGGCTCGCCTGGAGCTCTGGCCTCTGCAGGGGCCACGTACAGGAGCGCGGCCGGCTCTGGGGCTCGAACTCCGGGTCCAGTTCTACTTCCAGCGGGGAGAGCGGGACCGGGGAGGCCGGTGCCTCTGCCATCTTCGCCGCCTGCCCGCCCGCCTGCCGGCGGCTAGGACTCTCGCGCTCTCCTCTCACGCCCGGGCGGGGTGCGGCGGGGGAGGGACGGAGGCGCCGCGAAGGCTCGGGCTCCCGGGCGCCGCTGCTGCCGCCGCCTAAGGAACCGCGAAAGGAAAAAGAAGGAGAGTTGGTTATCCCGGGCGGGAGCCCAGTCCTTGGCGAGTCCTCGCCCGCCGCTGCCGCGGCTTCACGACCTCACCGCGCCTGCCTCCCAGGAACAAGCAGACCTGGGGACGTGCGTCCCGCGAACCTGGCGCAGCAGACGCCGCCCCCTGGCCAGGCCGCTGGGGAGCTGTGAGCGAATCGACGGCCTCGCACGGGGCAGCCCCCTCCCCCGCCGCCAGATCTGCAGGTCTCTCCTGGGCTAGGTGGCTGGGCGGGGAGAAAGGGGGAGGGGAGGGGAGGGGAGAGGCGGGGTGTGGGGGGGAGGCCGGGCCGCGCCTTTAAAGTGGGCAGCGGCCGGAGCTGGCGCAGCCGAACCGCGGTCGGAGCCCGAGCCCAGGCAGGCAGGCAGGCAGGCGTGCGGGCGTGCGTTTGTTTATGTTTCGCTCCGGCCCGCTCAAGTACCTCCCGCGGCGCAGCCGCCTAAGTCCGTGGCGTCTTAGGCTCTTCTCCCCTTGCACGGCCCTGTCGCCTCCGCGATCCCCCTGCCAACCCCTCCCAGCGGAGTGGCCCGAGCACCGGGATGGCGCGGGCAGTTCCCTTCTCTCCTCGCCCGCGGGCTGAGGAAAGGGAAGGCGAACAGAGGGCTGAGTTCAAACAGGCCCTTGTCACTTCCAAAAAAAGAAAGACGAAAGAAGGGGGCAAGCAGCCGGCGGGTGTTCGCAAAGGGTCGAGCCCTGTTTGAACGGCTACTTCGGAGGGTTTGTGTGGTTTATTTTTTCGCGAACGTGGTGTCCTCCGCCCCCTTCCCAGTCAGGGTCGGAAGGAGGGAGCAAGACGGAACATAAATCTTCCAACAGGTCGGGAAGTGCCAAGTCTCCCGGGCTGCCAGAAAACCCGGACCAGCACGTTCATCACCTCCTCGCTCCCGCTGCTGCCATCTTGACAGTTTCCCCCTTCCCTCAAGTCCTTTAAAAACACTAGCGGGAGAGAAGGGGGGCGCGCACACCGAGTCACGGGGAGGGAAAAGGGAAGAGCCTGGCCCAGCTCGGAAGCAGATCCGGAGTCACCGGGAAGGCGGCCGCCCCGCTGCACAGCTCCGGCGCCTACCTCGGTTCCTTCCCTTTCAGGGACGAGGCGGGAGGACGCACAATCCCGCGCAGGTCCGGGGCCAGGCGAGGAGAGGACGTGCAACCCTGGAGAAGGAGAGGCGCTCGGGCCACCGCTGCAGCCCGCCCAAGGAACCGCCTGTCAGCCTGCGCGCCGCCGCCTTCCACATTCCTCCTCCTCCCTTCCACGAGCAGGGCGGCCGCGGCAGCAGCACAAAGTTATAGACACACGCAGGGAGCCTCAACCTAGAATGACGGCGAGCGGGCGGGCGGATCCCCGCCCAGGGGGAGGGTTGGGGCGGGGGCCCAAGTGTGCTGGTGTGCGTGCGTGTGTGAGTGCGCGTGTGTGCTCGCGCGCGCCTGCGCGGCCAGGCTCCGCGGGGCTGCGGGCGTGGGTGTCAGGGCGCGCGCAGCCGGCCAGAACTCGGCGGGCTCCAGCAGCAGTCCCCGCTGGGCTCCTCCTCCCTCCAGGAGCCTCACGGACAACAAAGCACAGCGCTAGCAGGGGAGAGGGAGGGACCCAGATCCCCAAACCCTCCTCTGAGCGCCGTAACGCGGCCTCCCAGACTCTGGGCGCCCCGTTCGGGCATCTGGGGTCCCCGGCCTGCGCGTCCGCCCACCAGGCTGTGAGCACCCCCTAGTATCCGATTCTCCTTTAGAACCCGACACTAGTAACACCTTAGATAAGATGCTGATCACAGATGGCAAGGGTTACCTAGGCGTGGAAATACTAACCCGCCAAGATGTTGGTGCCTGCAAGACTTCGATAAGCTGATTCCCTCAGATTTGATTAAGCACCAAAAGGTGTGCACTGAGTCCCCTTACCTTGGACACTCGACCACAATCGTTTTTCACTTTTTATGGATTTCTTGGCAAACAAGGGAGAAGAGTAACTTAGTACAAGCACTTTATTCCTCAGTCCTAAACGCAAGACCAGATACCGCACAATTTAAAGTGGGAAACAATTTTATTCTAATCTGTAAAAATGACACCAAAAACAGTTAACTGCATTTCTGACTTTTTAAAGAAATGTGCCTTTAGGTTTAAAAAAAAATCATCTTCGCTAGTCCTTAGGATGCGTGCTCCAAATCATTCATTAGYATCCTAAAGAATGTACTACATGCAATATGTACACCAAAAGTCTAGCCACTTTGGTTCATAAATACTCTTTAAAATAAAACCTAAGTCATTGGAGATATTCCAGAGTCTAGGAGCGGGCTCCGCAAYATTGCCCTATACACAAAAAGATCCAGCAGCGCAGCGTAAGCAGGAGTCCGCCCACCAAGCTAACTCCGGGCTCCGGGCTTTGCCCAAGGCCTGCCACTCAAGTGACGCGAGGCCCCGCCCCTGCACCAAGCTAGTTCGACGCGTACAAACAGATGATGTCATTGTCTCCACACGCGCGTGACCCCGGAGCTCTGCGCCSCGTCTCCATTCGCTGCGCCGCTTACTCGTCAAGCCACGCTGTGCGCTGACTGGCTACAGGCACCAGTCTCCAGGCCCCAGACGCCCCTCTCCGCCCCCAACCCCCGCCCCCCCCAGCAAATAATAAACAATCGAGTAAAATTCGAAAGGAGGAAGGAGGGGAAGGAGGAGAGAAAGAGGGCGCTCCAGAAGGAGTCCTTCGCGTGCGGACGGCAGGAGGATTAAAAGGAGGGACGAGGGAGAACCGGAGAGGAAAGGAGAGGGCAGACCTGGGAAGGCAGGTCCCGCTGCGGTGAGCAACACAGTCGGAGGAGGAAACTTAGCGTTCCGTGCACGCCCGGCGCTAGGGCCCGGGGGCAGCGGGCTCCGGCCTCGGGGCTGGAGGCGGGGCCAGGCCGGCTGAGGGGGCGGGGACGAGGTATTACCGGCGCTGGGGGGCGGAGCCAGAAGACACGTGCGGGAGGAGGGGTGCGCGCTCCGCAGCGGCTCACCCAGGGCGCGCGGCCTGGGCGGCCGCGCGCGCTTGTTTACCAGCGCACGTGGGTGTTATTTTTAAATAGAATGTGGGGCTGGCTGCGCTGCAGAGTGGCGGGCGCTTGGGGCCGCCGGCGTTGGCTGGGGGACGCGGCGGGGCCAGCGTGGCGGCCTTTCCTAGCACTACTGCAGAGGCGGTAATGCTGTCCCTAAGGCGCGCTGTCTGCGTAGCCGGCAGACCCGGACCGGGAGCCTGACTGCTAGTTTCGGGCTCTGCGCGAACCGCCGCAGAATCGGCGGGTGGTAGTCGCCGCACGCAGCCTCTTTTCTCCCTGGTTCGCCATCTGCTTCGGCACTGAAGGAATAAAGCCGCCAGTTTGTCCTTGCTCTGGAAGCCGCGCCTGGCCGGGCCTCGCGGCGGCGGCCCAGAAATTACCACGTACACACTCGGTGGCACACACATCTTGGCCGCAAGGTGGACTCTCAGCACCCTGCGTGGTCTGTGCCCTAGCTCCCTTGCTCGAGTATCTATCCTCAGTCCACGTGTGCAGATCTGGAGACGTAGGGCTCTGCCTGTATACAAATAGGCTTCGACTTCGGGTTGTTTCTGGAAAGGGAAGTTTAGGGAAAGGGAACCCTGTGCTTCCTGGGATTGCTCCTTCGCCTGAGGATGCTCTTCTCTTCTTATGGGCCTGAGAATCCCTGAGTTTGAATTTGATTCACAGCCTGGCAGTGTAGATGGTGGTGTATGACCACAACACAGCTTCAGGTGCCAATGCTAAAAGCTTATTACCCAGAGTCTGATGTTCAGCTTTACATCAAATACCAGGAGGCTAGATCACCCAGGGCTTCACGTTGCATGCAGTGAAAAATCCAAAGAATTTTCACTTGATAGTTTTAAATACAGGATGCTATTATAAAAAAAAAACACTCTTGTTCCTCTATAAATCTAAGCAATCCTTTGTCATTATAGTGCAGACCTGCAGAAGTAGAAAGAATGTGTTTACACTGGCTGGGCTCTCAGCCATTAGAATTTTCACTATAAACATGTTGAGTGTTCATTTACAGAATGCATATCCCAAGGGCATTCCAAAAAGGGTGTGTATGTGTGTGTTAAAGAGTCAGTGGATGCACTAAGAACATTGTGACCCTCAGAGTGAGGAATGGGGGACAGGACATAATAAAGCCAYTTACCGCACAGACATAAGAAATACTTTAAAGTTAAATATTTTAAGAGTTTGAAAGCAGCTCAGAACAAATCAAGAGGTCATACATATACTGTTGGTTAAGCATCAAATGAATTGATCAAAAAACTTAAGATGGCAGTGACTATAAATATTTAGCTTTGCTAGTTGTGCATGTCACCCCAAAGAATTTACCCTGGTAATTTATCCCTATGGGTAAACTGAGAACACAGAGATTGAATCTCAGATTTTTCCCTTTTAGCCTTAAATTTTTGACCTTTGCCTTCCCTTTGTAGGCCTCACCGGTCTTTTTCTATTTCTTCCCACCTTTCTTAGTCTCTAAACTTTATTATTATATGAAAGTTCAGTAAGTTATGGTTATTGAGAAAGAATGCTAGCATTACCTTTTAGGTAGAATTTTTGGTCAAAACTTTCCCTTCTAAACAATTTTATATCCTATTTATTTCTGCAAAATGATTTAAGGTGGCAGTGGTTTGCTACACTTTGTAAATTCAGTCACTGGAGGTATTCAAAACTTTCACCAGATAAAGCTGAGAACCTTTACCTTTAGTTGTGAGGGTGGTTGGTAGTGAAAGATGTTGGGGTTCTTCCTCTGAAAGATTGCAACTCAGTACCTGTGTGCCAGCCCAGTCAGTTCGCCTTGCATCTAAGCCAGTAGGGGCCTCCCTCTGACTCCAAAGCCCAAATATTAAGGACCAAGTACACTGCTCTGTTTCCCCTTGGAGTGGCTCCTGTGTCTATATCAATAGCTTATGACCAGCTGGAAAGAAATGAGGATCCTCAACACGCAGGTCTACTGCTCCTCCCCAATCTATACACGCTCATCAGTCTATTTTTCTGTTTCCTGTCTCCTCTACAGACCAGTCACATGGAAAACTTCTTTGTTGAACACCATGTACCAAAGTACAGAGTGAGCTTTGGCTTGTCYTTTGGGGTGTCATTCCAGGCAAGTTTCATCACCACCCTCTCCAAGAGAGTCTGGAACTCTGGTCCTCTCTCTTCCCCTTTGCAGACGTCAAGCATGACAAGCCCTGGAAAGTCTATCCAGGTTGTAAGGATGACTGCTGTGGTTCATTTGGACAGAGTGTTTGTATATTTGGGGGGAGGGGGAATAGAAGAAGTAAGTGAACCCCAAAATGTGAATGTTTACCTGAAATTGAACTGGGTAGACAAGAAATTGGTAAGAATTTTGTTTTGGTATTATAAGGTTATGATGATAGTTAACCTTTGTTTGTCCCCTAATGTGTTTCAGACCCTGAATGGAGCACTTTAAGACTTGCATCATTTAAGCCTCACAGAGGCCTTGTGAGGTAGGTTCAATGACATGGAGTATAAGAACAGATTCTAAGGTTATGTCAGATTCCCCCACTTACCAGCTATGTGACCTTGGAAGTGTTATTTAACCATTGAGTCCCAGTTCCTCACCCATAAAATGAGACTTAGGCCTTCTAGGATTGTTGGAAGAATTGGGTTAAATGARGTTATGGATCTAAAGCATTTAGGATTAGAATAGTACTGAACTAAGGAACCTTTTAAAAATAGTGCTGCCCAAGAGCTATGTTGAACCAATTGAATTAGCATTTCTGAAGGTAGGGTCTGACACTGACATATTTTCAATTGCTAAAGGAATCAGAGGCACAGACTGTAGAGACCACAGATATAGGGGCCCTCTCTGACTCATACTCCAGTGTCTGCCCTCAGCTCTGGCTGATTTGTTCCTACTAAAAATGAGGAACAAATGAGCTCTTCACTTCACCTCTACATCATCAGGCCCTCTTCCCTCATTTATGCCTCCTGCCTGATCTCTGGGTGTTTATTTGACTTAGCCACCCTAACTTGTACCTTCTACTCTTCAGTGGCATGTTGGAGGTCTTTCCAATTCATGAGAGGCACCTTTTCTCATCCCTTGTAGTTTGCAGTAGAGTATTATGGGCATATTTATTCCACAGAAAGTGGCCAATGCTAACAACTAAATTTGCGTGCCTTTCTTTCTTTTCTTTTTTTTCTTTTGGGGGGGTGGGGTGGGGACAGGGAGAGGGTTACTGGGGATTGAACTCAGGAGCATTCAACCACTGAGCTACATCCCCAACCCTGTTTTGTATTTTAGAGACAGGGTCTCTCTGAGTTGCTTAGGACATTGCCGTTGCTGAGGCAGCTTTGATCCTTTTAACTCAGGATTATAGGTGTGCTCTACTAAGCTGGCTCCTGCCTTTCTTAAAATATTTAGTTAGTTAGTTAGTTGCAGGTGGACACACTACATTTACTTTATTTATTTATTTTTATGTGGTGCTAGGGATCGAACCCAGGGCCTTGAATGTGCTAGGYRAGTGCTCTACCGCTGAGCCACAGCCCCAGCCCTCCTGCCTTTCTTTATGCTTTCCTGTTTCTTCATTCTTGGGGACAGTTAACCAGCATACCCTTACCCCTACTCCACTGAGCTACTATCTTACATTCTGAGGAAGATTTGTTTTGAATAAACCACTGATATAGGGGGTCTATTCAAATAGAAAGGGAAGGACAACAGTGGRGCATAGTGGCACACACCTGTAATTCCAGCAACACAAGAGGCTAAGGCAGGATTGCAAGTTCAAAGCCAGCCTCAGCAACATAGGAGGCCCTTTCTCAGATTTCTTATCTTTCTTTCTTTTTTTTTTTTTTTTTTTAAAAGGGGTCTGAGAATGTGGTACAGTGGTAAAGTACCCTTGGGTCAAATCCCCAGTAACAAAAAGAAAAATAAAGTGAAGGACAACAGAAGCACTTGACTTCTTTTACCAATTGATTATGCATTGTTTAACCTTGATGTTATGGTTTAGATGTGGTGTCTCCCAAAAGCTCACATGTAAGACAATGCAAGAAGGTTCCATGGAAAAATGATTAGGTTGTAAGAGTCTTAACCCAATCAGTGAATCAATCCCCTGATAAGGATTAACTGAGTGGTAACTGAAGTGGTAGGGTGTGGCAGGAGGCTGTGGGAATTGGGGCATGGCTTGGGGGTATGTATTTGTATCTAGCAAGTGGAGACCTCTCTCTGATCATCATGTGTGCTGCTTCCCTCCACCACACTCTTCCACCATGATGTTTTGCCTCACCTCGAGCCCTAAGGAATGGAGTCTGCTGTCTATGGATTGAAACCTCTTAATCATGAACCCTCAAATAAACTTTTTCCTCCTCTACGGTTGTTCTGATCRGGTCCTTAGTCAGAGCAGCAAAATAGCTGACTAATATACTTGGTTTTAAAGTACTTGAGTTGAATACAGTGGAGTAAGTATGTGCTTTTGCAAATACAAACTTGATGAAAACTAAATCTGATAAACAGAAAAAGAAGAGAAAAAGAAACACATAAAAAATGCACACACAAAAACTAAAGCTGGATAAAACTTTTTTAATTTTTAAAAATCAGTCATTGAGCTAGCAAGAAAATTACAGACCAAAAACAAAACTAAGGTGGAACTCCTGGATAGTGAACAAGCTCCTAAAACATCTTTCAAACAACTGTGTCCTTGAGTGTCCACTTTGACCAGTGTGCAGGATCTAAGAGACATAAGATATATCCTTAGGCATCTCTTAGATCAGAAGAATAACAACTTTCCCATAAAACTGGTACTCTAAAGGGCCAAGGTCAAGAGGAAAATAAAATTAACTTGCTTTGCTGAAGAGGATCACAGAAAAATTCACCTCTCTTGATGCTTATGGGGGATGAAGAATATMAAAAAGATATTCTTTGATAATTCATGACTATGAAGTGGTCTTCATATAAGATTTTGACCCAAATTCATGATACCATGGGATTATTGAATAAACTTCACGAGTCTCAGTTTATGGCCCTYTAAGCAAATGTCAGAAACAGACAAATCCATTCTGAAGGAGTATCTTGAACCTAGGCTCCAAAGAAATCCCCCACATGAAATTTCAAGAACAGATGCTCATAATCAAAAACACAAAACAGGGCTGGGGTTGTGGCTCAGTGGTAGAGTGCTTGCCTAGCATGTGTGAGGCACTGRGTTCGATTCTCAGAACTGCATATAAATAAAATTAAGTCCATTGACAACTAAAAAAAAATATTTAAAAAAAAAAACCAAGGAAGCAAAGCTCCATGTAAGGATAGACAGAAACAAAAGGCAAGGTCAGACCTACATAGTGGGTATGGGAATAAACAGAAAGACAAGTTTGAAAATGCAAGAAAGGAACTATTGCACCCTTTAAAAAATAAACTTTTGAATTATTTTTTAAAACTCAGTATTAAAATCCAAGTACTTATKGTTTTTGTTGTTGTTTTTGTTTTTCTCTAACCTTTTTCTTCCCAACTAGATTTTAGGTCCTTKAAGAGAGAGGGGCCAGGCTTAACATGTTATAGATTATTGTTGCCAGTTGAAGGAAGTACTCAATTCTTTTGAAAACCAGAAGTAATAGTGAGAGTTTGTGACAACGTTTTTAAAATGTAAATTTTTTAAAAAAAAAAATCCTATGGTAAGATGCAGAAGACATGAAGTCAGAATGAATGCAGTGCTGCCAGCTGACTGGCTTCCCGCACAGGGCATTAGCTTCGTCAGTGGTCCCTCTAGTCCATTTCTCATCTTGAGAACACTTGTGAAGTGAGCATGTGTCCACATCCGCTTGTTAGAAAATCTATTCAAAATGCCTTGCAATTACTTAAATACAAGTTACTTTCAAACACTGATGTGGCATTTTWAAAAAATCGAGGCCATATGGAAATGTTCATTACCCTTGCGTCTTACTGGGGCAATTAGGCACATGTGCTAATGTGTAAAGTTTTCTGGAATAGTTTGTTACTGAAGCCCCCCCTAGCGTAAAAGGGCTCAAGGGACATTAAATCTGATTATTGCCCCTCCCACACCACACCTTGAAATGAAGTAAACCTGTGAAACAGAAGGGTAATAGGGAAAAAACAAAAAGTTTGACCAAGTTTGAAAACRTGATGTGAACATCATTTTAAAATTCTCAAACTAGCAAAATGTGAGGCTCCTGTATATGATCCAGAAAATTCTAGCATGGAAATATATGGAAGAGAACTGCCAAAGTCACTATGAAGATGGTAAATTTGAGTTTGAATGCTTCTCATTCGGGATGGTTCAAACATCTCAGAAGAAAGTTTTTCCTTTGCTAAAGGAACTTGTCTCACAGTTCTAGTCCTGGTGGAGCCCACCGAAGAAAGGGTCCTGGAGTGTTAATGGGACAGGTTTTGTGTGTCCTTCCCTACCCACCCTAAGAGATGGCATTCAAGGTGTCAGGCCTCAAAACTCTTCCTGGTCTGCAGTTGGATTTACTCTGCTCAGAAGGTAGCTCTTCGGGTGTTAGAAAGGACTCCCCCTCACTCCTTCCCTACTCCCTTTAATATCATGTCTCTTGGCCCTCTTGTGCTCGTTTCTGGAGAGACAGCTGAAGCCTCAAAATGGGTGACAGAATCACAAAGGGAGACACGTGAGGAGGAAGTGTCAAGGCCTCCAAACAGGAGTTGTCCGATGAYAGCCTAACACCTGACCCTCACAAGCTCACACAGCTGAGTCCTTTTGCAGTTCCACTGCTCAAGTGGATCATCTGAAGGCCTGTTTTAAACATCTGAAATAACTTTTTGTAAAAGCCTTATATTTGAAATGAATAATGAAGTCAAATGAATAATTCCAAATTGAACGTAATCCTTGGTGCCCCTTGGCCTGTTGAGGGAACCCACCAAATCTAGTTAATTTGGGTCAAGTCTTCCTGCTTGCCACAGAGAGTGAAACTCCTCTTGGAATTTGTGGGAATTTTGCCTACCAGTAAAAAGAAGAGATGGCCCTTTCTTTCTACTTGTTGTGCAATAAAAATATGTTGCTGAAGAGGGAGTAGGTTGTCATGACACTTATGACCAAAAGGGTCCATGTGAATATATAAGGCGTCTAGAAAGAAGAGGGGTTGTGGCCTAAACAGGCTGGCCTTTCTCTGGTAGACAGCAACAGAGAGAAGGGCTTAATGGAAAGATAAGTGACCTCAGAACCACTGGTGGCAGGTTGGCAGTCCCCCACATCTGATAACTCTGGGTTAAGTGACACAGTCAACTTCCTATTCCTTTACCTGCTACATAAACAATCAGACTGATTTTGGGGGAAAGCTCTGGCAAAAGAATTCTGGGAGGTCCATTCTGAACGAGAGAGCCATTCTGAAAGAGGTGGCCATTTTGGCACCCCACCCCACCCATTTTGTTGATACTATCAACAAAATGTTTGTTCCAAAATAATTGATCCCCAAGTGAATAACTGGAATTGTATTCCTTTCTCAAAAGCAAAAAAAAAAAAAAAAATGTCCAAATGTGTTTTAAGTTAGTCCCTCTCTACTTTTTCACAGTTGTGTATGCTGATATTTAAATTGGCCTTGTCAAAATTCATATATGGCTGTTGCTTAACTTCTGCATTTGACATACTCAGAAAATGAGAACATTAGGCGGCTTGGAAAATTTCTTCCAGAAGTCCTTAATGTTGTGATCACAGAAGGACCATGCTGCACCAACATAACAAACAYGTTTCTCTTGTTATGCGGGGTTTCTTCTAAACCCTCCTTTAACTACTTTACCTGATTTCATTTACTGCTTGGAAACCCACTTCTCTTTCAGCCTCAGCCTTGGGGCTTCCCTAGGTCCTAGGGCAGTAGGATCTTCCCTCTCTTACTCTGAGCTACTTGAGGGCAAAGGCTGAATTAAGATATATGAGGGGCTGGGGTTGTGGCTCAGTGGTGGAGCCACTAGTATGCATGCCTAGTGTGCATGAGGCACTGGGTTCAATCTCCAGCACCATATAAAAAATACTAAATAAAATAAAGGTGTCCTGTCCATCTACAACTAAAAATATTTTTTTAAAAAAATATATGGAGCCTGGGAAGGAAAAGTTCACATCTTAATTCTTTTTTAAAAAAAGCATTATTGAAGGCCCAGGTCAGGCATCAGGGGGGAGAGAGAGCCAGATGACAGGAATGGCTGTTGTCTTGTACTCTGCTTCTAATCTTTACTCACCCAACACTCTTGACCTTTCTGAGTCTCGGTTTCCTTCTCCATTGACTAGAAAGGCGGAACCTGAGGAGCACAGAAGCCAGTGCTAGCATTCATCTGTGGCTTAGTTAATTTCTTCAACAAGAACTTACCAATGGGCTGGGGCTGTGGTTCAGTGGTAAAGCTCTTGCCTAGCACATGTGAGGCACTAGGTTTGATCCTCAGCACCACCTAAAAATAAATAAATAAAGTTATTATGTCCATCTACAACTAAAAATAAAAATTAAAAAAAAAAACTTATCAAACACCTTCTGTGTGTTCCCATTTATAAGCAAGACTCCTCGCCCCTACCATTGGTGGATAAAACACCGTAGAGCTGTTTTTATGTTCCTATGTTTACACATTTGTGGGTGTTCCTTTTTCTTCAAGGTGTAGCTATTTCTAACCACTACATTTAGGTCTTTTTTGGGAAGGGCCATCTTTGCTGTTTTCCTACCAGACTGGAAGCTCAGTGAGGYCAGGGATTGTGTCTAACTAGTCTTTGTAATCTCCAGCATATAGCCGGCACTGAGTAAATGTGAAAGGAAGGAAAGGCAAGAGTGAGGGACTGATCCGTGGAATATCCTCATACCTGTGATATTTCTGGGTACAGACCACAGTGAAGTCCCTGTCCACAGAGAGTGCCAATGGTAGCAGGCTCTGACCTTTCATGGAATCAGCAAATCATTGGAGCTATCGAAAATTACATTAATTTTATTGAAGCCTTTTGCAGGTACCTAATGTAATTATGGCCCTGATAAAAGCTGCCAAGTGCTCCTGAGTGCAAAGGASAGAAGATATTTTAACGAAGTTACTAGACTCATTTGGCTTCTCATCCTGGAAAATCTACTGCTCTGGGGGACCATCATTTCTGCTGAGCTGGCATTGCTATGAGGCGACCGCTTTCTGTTGGTTTTTCTTCGTGATTTAGAGGTACTCATCAGGAAGATCTCATTTTCTTTACCTGGGCCCAGCTCTGGGTTCTGCTAAACTTCCTGGTAACCTGTGATTTGTTATGGATATGTCCTACTTACATTTTCTTCCCATAGTTACGACCACATACCTCAAGTATAAAAATTTTTCTTTGTTCAACTGCCTGTGATTAGTCAGGTGCCSTCTCTCGCTCACATAACAGCTCCCTCCTAAAAAGAAGCCTTGGACTGTTTGTTAGCCTGCCCCTGGGGGGTTCGGGTAGGAAACAGACACTTCCTCTCTGACTAACCTTAGTCTGGTCCCTGGCTGGGCTTGGAAGGTAGATCAGGCTGCTGATTTATTTTTTCTTTACTACTTCCCTCTAAGTTATCCAGGGAAAGAGGACTAATTTCTAGATAGAGAGATGAAATCTGGTTTTCAAAGTGCTGGAAGGATCTAAARTAGCTGGATGGATTCCTTCAGGCTGTTTCTGTCTACAAAGCTTGTATTTCTCAAGGAGCAGGGAGAGATTGAATTGAGGTCCTAAGGTAGGAGAGTGGGCCCATTATCTCACTTCTGACCCCTTTCCCCTCTCCCAGTCCCCACCAGGGCTCACTACAGTAGCTGGTGGCATGTCAGGCTGCCAAACCAATCATAATCCTCTTCTTCCTTGTCCTCAGTTATTTAGCAAGCCTTCCAGAGGTGACTCTGTGGGGAGGGGACTTCCAAGATCAAATCATAGCCTGCTTCCCCCAGAACATCTCAGTGGCCCAGTGGGGTGCTAATGTCAAAGCTGTGACATTAAGACCTGTGTAGGCCCATTTTAAAAATGGTAGACTTCTTAGGGGAAGGCATAGGTCAGCTTTTTTTCCTTCTGGGTTGATTGGAGCCGTCACAGCCTGCCAATGTCCTCTAAACATTGCCTGAAATGAAAAACAGTATCTTGTGAACCCCTGTGTTAGTATTTTTGAATGGTACCTAGGGGCCTTTAAAAATATGTTGTCATGGAACTTTTCTCTGCCAATGTATGATAAAGTAGAAACACACACACACAAAAGTAGAACCGCAAGTTTGGGAAGAGTGTGGGTACCTTTTAATGTCAAAGAGGGCCTGCACAAAGATTTGACAAAAAATACCAGGAGATATATTTTATCTGACTGTTGATTATCCCCATTCCTGTACCCCTGGCTTCCTTTTCCTTGGGGATGAGGCCGAGGAAAAATGCCGACACTTTCTCAGMGAGGAAATTCTGCCTTAGTGGATAATGGGCTCGACGTCTTTGCACTCTGCTTCACCMGCCTGTAACTGTTGTCACAGGAAGGATTCAGTTTGGGGATTAAACATCCCTTTTTAATAAGAGATGTGCTACATAATAAAGTTCTTAACATTTATTCTGGGTTTTATAACCAGCATCACCTCCCTCATTTTAATCTTGTATAACTTTGAAAAATTCAGTAGTTGCTGAAAAGTTAGTTGTCTTGAGGATGAGGCTCAAGGTTGGAGGATTTTTCTCCTGAAAGGATAAAATTTTAGCACTATCTTGGGAGGTGAAACTTGGGCCTGCCAATGGAGGCCTCAGTTAGTATTTGTACCATTGTTTTGCCTGTGTGACAAAATCTGTAGTTAACCAGGGTGGATTGGTCTACCCTGCAACCTGAGTCAAATAGTATCCTAAGACTCCCTGTACCCCTGGCCACTGCCAGACTTCTTGGAAGCATCCTGGATGCTGTCTGACATCCATCTCTACAGGGGTCACTGTGGATCATCATTAACTCCTTTACTGTGGTTTCCCTATTCTTGCTACAGCCAGCTGCGGTTGTCACTTACAAAATGGCATGTTTTCAGGATGTCCCTGTGTACATTCAGCCACACAGTGGGAGCTATCAGCTTCTCCACCAGCCAGCCAGCAGCTGGGCTGCACATTGGTGGCAGCCTTCTCCTTCCACAGTGGACCTCCACCAGCACCTCCCTTGTCCCAGAGTCATTCGGTACCCTGATGTATCTTCACTTTCATTCTCTGTCCCCAGTTCCCTTCATTTGAGCCTCCAGACTTTCTCCGGGTCTCATTTTAGAAAATACTAAAGAAGGCCGAGTTTTTAAGCCAGCTTGTCTACTTTGCCCAATAGTCTATGGGAGGCTATGGGTACAGATTGGGCCTGTACCCAGAGCACCAGATTCCTTGAGAAAACTCCTAGTTGAGATCTGAGCCCTCTGCCTCCTTCTCCAGTACTTTCATCCTAGTAAGTAGTGTGTCCTACAGTTCATTTTCATTTTTACTYCCAGTGGTCTTGTGTGAGGTTTTGGGAGGGACAGGATAAGAACAGAAAGGCCTTCAGTCAAGTCTCAAGAAGAATCTCCTCTAATTCTAAGAAAACACCTACAGGGCCCCAGTTACTTTGCTCATCTCACAGCTCAAGTTGCCAAGGAATACTAAGGATATATRTGAGAGAGGATGAAATTACTCACTAAAGGAGAAAGCAGCCCAAACTGGCTATCAGCTGGCCAGACAGCTCCCAGAAGGTTCTACTGCAACACTCAGATACCCTCAGAAGAAGGTGAAATTCAACACAAAGAATTTGGAAGAAAGTCTCTCACTTCCACTTGATGATGTAAAAGTCTCTTCAGGTCAGAATGAATACTTGACCCTCACCTGTACTGAGCCTGTGAGGCTCACCCCTATTTCCAGATGAGAGAGCAAGTTGGAGAGGGTCAGGCTTGGTCAGAACAAGGCTGAGATCTCAGCTATATCTCCTAATTCCACCTCTGTTCCTCCCAGAATCCTCCCTTTCCCAAGAAAGGCCTTTACCACCTCTTGCACCTGTCATGGGGCAACTTTTTCAGAATGTAACTCAGTTGGTGTTGCTGTCCTACTTCACTGGGAAAATGGTGTCAGAAGTAGAAGCGCGTTTAAACCTTACTCCAAGGTCCGCAGCCACAGGGATACCRGGTATCTCATGTGTGCCCAGGAGGTCGGGAGTGGGACTGGGGCTCAGACACACCATCAATCTTCCTAGAAAAACCCCTCAGTCTGCAGTACTCTGGGYGCTGTACTCACCCCTTGCTCTCTGTATCACAGTGAGGCAGGTCATATCAGAGCCTGGCTTTTGCCAGCAGAGCAGAGACAGAGGGAGAGAGGAAGAGGCAGAATCAAGGTACCCCTTCCTTCACTATCAAACATCCCAACATCTACTTGCTTTTGCCAACACCTCTTATTGTTTTAGAGGAAACTCCAGGAAAAAAAACAAAGGAAAGAAAAACATTTCTCTACATAGTAACCTACTGAGAAGAGCAAACTGGCCAGGTGCTGGCAGATTGTGTTTTCTTCGAGGTAAAGCAGGGCAGTCCCATACTGAGCTCCGAAGGGCAGGTGTTTGCCAGAATTTGCTGGTCCCCTCCTGCCATCTTGTGGCTGAGAGCTGCCATACATGCAAATTCCAATCTGTATTTGAGAGAGGGGGAGAAGAAAGGAAGTGGGAAGGATGAGAGGCAAGAAAAAAAGAAGGAGAAGGAAAGAAAATGTCAAACATCTGTTCCTGTAGCTTCAGGACATGTTCTTCCTTAGGCACCTTTACACTCAGTTCAACTGCAGATAATGGTAGACAGGAGTCCAAGACACAGCAGTTCCACCAACATTTTGTGGGGCACCATTTGGATGGATGTTGGACATTGCACTAAGGGTTGGACTGCAAAATGTGTGCTCAAAAGATCTCCTGCCCAATGCTCCAAAGAAATTCATCAATAGTCACTTTAGAGTATACTTTTTATTATCCTAAAAAACAAGCTACTGTTTTTCACACTCAAACTTGCCCTTCTCTAGGTAGCAGTGGCTCCAATGATTTGCCCACCATTTTTTAATGCACACCATGAAGTGAAGGCAGGTTCTTGAACCAAATGTCATTTTGGTTACAAATATAGTATTTAAAGGTCAACTTTTTAAGTGCACATTCACATACAGTTGTAAGAAATACTACAGWGATCTCATGGAAGCTTTACTCAGTTTCCTCCAAAAGCAACATCTTACAAAACTGTAGACATAATATCAACACTGGTACAATCAAGATTCAAAGTGAGGGCCTGGGGATGTGGCTCAAGCGGTAGCGCGCTCGCCTGGCATGCGTGCGGCCCGGGTTCAATCCTCAGCACCACATACAAACAAAGATGTTGTGTCCGCCAAAAACTAAAAAAAACAAATATTAAAATTCTCTCTTAAAAAAAAAAAAGATTCAAAGCAAGTCCATCACAAGGACCCCAACCCTCTTGTTCTTTTATAACTGCACCTATTTCCCTCCCACCCACCCACCCCTTATGTCCCTAACCCCTGGCAACCACTGAGCTATTCTCCATTTCTCTAATTTATCATTTCAAGAATGTTACATAAATGGAATTTTATAGTATGTCACTTTGAGAAGTGTTTTTTTTTCATTTTTTTTTTTTTTGGTTGTAGTTGGACACAATATCTTCACTTTATTTATTTATTTTTATGTGGTGCTGAGGATSGAACCCAGGGGCTCTCACATGCTAGGCCAGTGCTCTACTGCTGAGCCACAACCCCAGCCCCCCCCACCCAGAAGTGGCTTTTTCTACTAATTCTCTGGAGACACAGCCAAGTTGTGTGAATCAATAGTTTGGTCCCTTTTGTTGCTGTGTATATTCCACAGTGTGGATGTTCCACCCTTTGTTTAACCATTTACCCACTGAAGGATGCTTAGCTTGATTGTAGATTTTGATCGTTACCTGTGAAGCTTCTATGATGTACAGGCTTTTTTATGAAAACAAGCTATTTCTGTGGCATAAGCACATGGAAGTACAATTCTGAGTCATATGCTAGCTGTGTGTGTAGTTTTTTGTTTGTTTATTTGTTTGTTTTTTGGTACTAGAAATTGAACTCAGGGGCACTCGATCACTGAGCCACATCCCCAGCCCAATTTTGCATTTTATTTAGAGAAAGGGTCTCACTGAGTTGCTTAGCACCTCACTT